AAGGTGTGAGGGACCAGGCACCTATAAGAAATTGTGCGAATAACTCCAAGTTTTCACTTAATTTAAGAAAATTTCAGTGAATTGGTACATGGAACGTCCAGGGACTGATCCAAAATCCTGAAAAGTTGGAAATCCGGAAAAGTCAAAACACATAATTGAAAAAGAAATGACAGACCACAATATTTTGGTACTGGGACTCTCAGAAACTCACTGGAGAATTAAAGGGCATTTTAAAACAACTGTCTATTTTAACTCGTCTATTTTTCAATCTCCGATAACACAAGTACAAATGGAGTCGCAATAATCGTACCCTCTATATTTAACGAAGAAGAAGATATCAACAGGTTCTATGGTCGTCTATTTTAGGAGACTTTAACGCCAAAGTAGGGTCATCTAATGAAAATATTGAAGGAGGCTAGGCAAAAATGGACTGGGACAGAGAAATGAGAATGGTGACTGTCTATTGGAGTTCTGTGAAGAACAACATGGCGTAGCCCAGATGGACGAACAAGAAATCAAATAGACTACATCCTAATAAGAACACGATGGAAGTCGTAGGCCATCAACTGTCAAATATATCCTGGCGCAGACTGTAGAAGCGATCATCAACTCCTGGTATCGACTTCGTTTTAAAAACCCCAAAAGAAGACGGCTAAGAAAGTCATGTTTTTAAATCCATCACAAATCAGTGACTCCCAACAAAATCTAAAAGAAGCTCTTTCTTTAGACCTAGAAGCAGATAGTGACCCTGAGAGCACTTGGATCTATATTAAAGATAAGATGATCGAGGCTGCAAAAGACTGTGGGGCGCGGTTTCCACGGGCCGTAAGCCGTGGATATCCGAAAATACGTGGACTGTGATTCAACGCAGAAAAAAACATAAAACCAGATACGGAACTAACGATGAATGCAGAGCGTTATCAAAAGAAATCATAAAACAGTGCCGCAAAGATGAAAAGCTGATTACATCTCTCAAATATGCAGAGAGATTAGAGGAACATGGCTGTCGAAATGAACCGAGGGATTTCTTTCAGAAGAACTCGTTACCAGATAATTTAAATCTCAAACGTGGTCTGTAATAGATAAGGAAGGTAATCTACTACTGTGACGAGCTATAGAAGCAGATAGAAACAGAAAATCAGTGGTCCTCTAACTACCCTAGACTACCCTTGTCTTACTCGCTGAACTCAAAGATGCAATTAAAGCACCAAAGAGAAATAAATTAATTCAGTACCAGGTGAAATATTACAGTTACTAAGTAACAAAGGATTACATAACATCCATTCTATCTGTATTGCTGTTTGGAATTAAGGAAAATGGCCATCTGATTTGTGTACGTCAATTTATATCCCGCTACACAAAAATGGAACTACTACCAGATCTGAAAACTACCGCACACTGTCTTTAATAACACATGCTAGTAAAATCTTGTTGCATATAATTAAAAACAATAAAAACCTATCTACATTATCTACTACCTCAGGAACAAGCGGGAACAAATCCTGAACCTGAGACAACTCATTGCAAAGTCTAGGGAATTTCAAGTTCCTGTGATTATATGCTTCGTTGACTACCAAAAGGCATTGGATTGTGTAAGCTGGATAAATCTGTGGCCCATTTTAATAAAAATGGGCACACCAATGCACTTAGTGTTACTTAAAAATTAAAAATCTGTACCATTCCAATATAGCAACAGTACGACTATATCAAAAGTTCTCAAACCAATTCAATACTGAGAGAGGTTTTGGTGAAGGATGCGTGTTGTCACCAGACTTATTCAACATGTATGGTGAATATGTCATAAGGATGGCCTTAGATGGATGGGCTGGTGGAGTAGTAATAGTGGTAGGAAAATTTTCAATTTAAGATTTGCTGATGACACTACACTCATAGCGGCAAATGAGCAAGAAATGTTTAATCTCCTACGAAGAGTTGAGTGCGAAAGCAATAAAGTTGGTCTGGAAATCAATAAAGCTAAGACAAAAATAATTGTGGTCGACAGATTCTACACTATTCAACTGACTAACATGTTACAGGAATACCAGATAGTAGACAGTTTTGTCTGGGTCTATCCCGGATCTAGTCTAGTCTATGACTAACGATGGTAACTGTGAAGCAGTTCGGAGACTTATTGGTATGGCAAAAAATGCGATGAGTCGCCTAACGTACGTTTGAAAAGACGGATCTATCTCTCAAAATATCAAGATGAGAGTGGTGAATGCCCTTGTATTCTCAATACTTCTATACGGGGCAGAGACTTAGACTTTTCGCGGATGCGAGCGCCAAAAAATTGATGCATTTAAGATGTGGTGCTGGAGGGATAGCTCATAGGACAAACGTTTCCATTCTAAATCAACTCAAGATTAAACAAAGGCTGTCTACAATATGTCTGCAACGTATTCTGCAATTTTTCGGTCATTTGATTCGCAGAGGTGACGATAGTTTGGAGAAATTAATTGTTTCTGGAACCATTTCGGGGAGAAGATTAAAATGGGGGGTCACAAAAATAAAATATGGAGGAAGAGCATTAACAGAAAATATTATGGAACTATTCAAATCAAAAAGATCGTTGAAATGAAATGCATACAGAAGGAATGGAAATCAAATATAATGATAGAATGAATATACAGCAGTAGAATTTAATACTATGCTAACTAAGAAGGTGTGACTAAGCAGAGCAGCTGAAGATAGAGACCAATGGAGAAAAATTGTTGGGAATATTGGAAGAAATCACGATCCTCAGTAATGGGGAAACGACAAGAGAAAGTTTAGGCCATCGATTCTTAGTAGCTTTTTGTTTGACCGTCTGGTGATTGCCATTGTGATTATTTTTATTGGAAAAACACTTACTTCCATCATTTCAGAGATATAATATATAGATTTCAGAGTTATAATTATATCAGAGATATAATAAATATTGAGATCTCACAAGGCATCAATTTACGAACAATTTCATTATTTAGTCAAGATTGATGAAATTTGGTGTAATTCACATAAAACGTATTTGGTTTACGGCACTCCTTGCAGATAACAGAATATATTTTAATTGATGTGTTAATTACTGTCCAAGCCAATATAATAAACATAGAGAATTTTATACTATCTCAATAGTCAAGGTTTTAGAAGAGAACGTTCTTTGTTTCGCGCCAGACATAACTTCACTTTTGACATGATATGCAAAACATTTTGATTTATAACATAGGCCAGATGGTTCGACGGTTTATTCATATATCAATATAATTATAGATATACATAGCGGTGATTATTTCAATTATAAGAACTCTAGACTAAAAAGGATTGGCTATTTTTTTTGTAATGTTTCATTCTGACGGGATGGTGATAAGACTTAAGCTGCAGATTGTGTTTGTAAAAGTTGTTTGACATGTTTATATGATAAGCGATATGTAAAAGTATTATCAAGAATAAACAAAATAGTAATAAAGGAAGTAGCGATGTATATAAGAAATTATGTCGAAGTAAAACTATTTATTGATCATTGAAGTTATAGAACTTAAAAACTAAAGATATGGAACCTCCAAAATAGAAAAAAAAAATAAAAAATTATTCAATATTCCTAGATTGTTAAATAATATTCAATAATGTAACTATATTCTACAAGTCTGATACATTGACAACGGGGTTGTCAATGTCAAACGTCTTAGAAAAGAAGAAAAACGCCTCCATCGACGTAAGAAGAAGGAATGCGAATAGAACACTCTCAATGAGATACAAAGTTTATTCGATAAAAATTAAACAAGGAGAGAATTTAAACCATGATTAGAAATTTGTAAAAACACTAATATCAACAAAATCTACAACTTCAACTACACAGTGAATACCCAACAAAAGAAGAAGGGTCACATGCCATCCTAAAACTCAAAGACAAACATTTTACAAGGGATATTGTTGGTCAATATCAATGCAGATTTACTGCTGGAAAGTCAACTTCACATTAAATTCCAGCACATTGGCTGATTCCAGAAAACTTACAAGAATATAACATAGATACACATCATCTCTTCGTCGACTTCAAAGCAGCCTATGTCAATATGAAAAGAACTGCATTATATAATGCAATGATAGACTTTGGCATCCCACCTAAGTTATTTAAGTTGACCCAACTAACAATGCAAAACGTAAGCTCATGCGTTACAATATCCAACAGAGAATTCAAATTAACAACCACAGCTTTAATATTTAATAAGACCAGTTTTGATATGTCGCTGTATTTTTAATTATCCTTATATCACAATTTTACAATAATTATCTCAGTCCAACCCTTAATAACCCTTCCTACTTACACTTTAACCCCCTCCATTACAAATACAGACAGTTTCAAGATAGCAAAGAAGAAAGACTTTCTCTTGCTGGTCGGCTGCCGCTAAGGACATACCATTGGTTTGGCCACCGCTAGGGCCAGACGTACTCTCTTGATTTAACTACCGCCAAGGCGACTCATGTTTTTTGGTATTCTCGGCTACCGCTAAAGACAGTCATTCTGTCTCTCTCTCTCTCTCTCTCTCTCTCTCTCTCTCTCTCTCTCTCTCTCTCTCTCTTTGATTATCAAGAAGAACAGCATCTATCTTGGCTGTTTTCTATCGCAATTACCTTTTTCCCGCCTTAGTTACGCGAGAAATACCAAAAATACTGTTTTAAATCGTGTACAGACAAAGTGTGCTCTATCTCGCAAAGTGTAGTACCGCGAAACACGTGTTTAGAAAAACCGCGAGTGTGCCCGGACATATTTCGCATAAGAAAAGAAAAACCGCGAGTGTGTGGAGCAGAAAAAATATTGGTAAGACTTTCTATAAACTTAATTTGCTATTGTCTGTATACCCTTTATTACATATCCTAATTTATTTAACCCAGCCTTATATAATACAGTCCACTTACACTGAAATTATACTAATAATTTCCCACATATGTACACCCTTTGCTCTGACATTGCTGGGATGTCAGATCACGATTACACGAAGAGATTAACATTTTTAAAACCCGAGGGCACAAGAAGTAGCGGACTAAGGGTGAGAAGATGGAGGGAAGTTGCTAGGACTGGCGTGGCAACTTCTTGAGCAGGCCAAGATCCACAACGGATTGTAGCCACTTATAATGATGATGAAAATACATCCAGTACAAAGAGTATCAGAAGCAGACGAATATATTATCTAAAAACCCTAAGGTATTGGTATGGTTACTGTTCCAAACAAATCTGTAGCACAGTTACCCCAGTCAAGGAAGAAAAAAGGCTGTAAAATTCTCATACAGATATTTGAAGGTTCTAAAGGGTATTTGAGGAATGAAAAATCCGTAAAGACCTACAGATAATTTTGTTTTATTTTTTAAAACAATCTTAAAACGTAAAAAACAGTTTCTTGCCTATAAAAAGTTTCTCATACATTATAAAAAAATTCAACCAAGATAATAACCACATAGAAGAAATATTTTATAGTTATTCAATTTGTATTTCCCGGACAGCGATTATTTATACAACTACACTTGCCCAAATAGTGACCCTGCAGGTATTTTGTAAATTTCTATCGATTCTTTGAAGCTTCAGTTATAGGCTATATTAAAAAAACTTTAACATTTTTATTAAAAAACAGTTTGAAAAAGCGCTGACTTTTTATCTTATAAACATTTAGAATAGAATAAATTAACTTTTTATATATAGTTTTTTCTTTGACAAAAAACATTCACAACACAACATTCAACAAGAACAAAATAATTCATTTTATTATAATTGCAAGCAATTTTAATATAATTGGATTTAATGAAGATAAGTAGCTAATAAGTATAGATAATATTTTTGTAGTTCACACACCCCCCCCTTCCATTTTTTTTCCGTGGCGGTGTTTTACTAGTATCATCATCTTAAGACTAGCTTGATTCCGATTGGAAGGTACGCTGATTTTTATGCATTTCTTGGTAAGCAAGCAGCAAGCAATTTAATTGAACCCAGCCTATGAGAAATGTTCACCCAGGTAGTACGATCGGGTGTAATAATTCATTGGAGCAAGGTGTGTTAACTCGAGTAAAAACAAGAGTCACCCCACCGTGCTCCAATGCTCTAGACCATCCCTTTACCCCTATAGCACTCTGATGCGCTATAGAGGCACAACAATCAGCCAAATGCTCTTCATGTGGAGGTCCTGGGTAATAGAACCCCAACATGGTTTCCTGACCGATTGCAAAAAACTCAGGACAGCGCATCTCCGCTGCATTCCTGTTATCTTAATGTGGCTTATCCGCGAATTAAAATTGCTTACTTAGGCCTCAAGTCTCCGCTATGAGTCTGGGCTCAGTTCGGCGACTTGGTGCTCAAGGGGTTGGGCCCTACGTGCCCGGGTTTTTGGGGTTTTTTAATTTTTTTTTTGGTGGCCGAAGCCGGTTTTTGTGATTTTTTTTGTAGGTAACCTGTGGACAAAAATCATAATTAGTATATAGTCTATATTATAATAAAGAAAATATATAAATATTATACTATACCACAATACAGACTGTATCCTTGTTGCATTTCTTGGTTGCATGTCCGCAGCGATTTTGGATCAGGCCAATGCAATTGCAGTTAATAAGAATCCTTGTAATTGGCCGAACAGAGTGATAATCTTCGCTGTAATTCGTCCACTCTAGCGACAGCCCCTAGACTAAAAAAAATATGTTTTAGTTTGTAAATTAAGTTTGGATACATAAAAGCTTGTTTTATGTTCAGGAACACATTCATCAAATAGGATACAATCTGGCATCTTCTGGAGTGATATTTATTGTACTTTGTTTCATCTAGAGTAGTTGAGCTCTATCTCTGATTAGAGCATTGGGAAAACAAATGATTTAAATCTTTACAATTGTCTCACAGCAGGTACATAATCATCTGTGTATTAAATTACATATATGATCTATGTTGAAAGTGCGAAAGACCTCGTTCATAATTCATCTTTAGTATTGTTATCGTGTATAGATATTGATTAGAAGTTGCGTAGGAAATAACGCTTATTTGGTCGAGAATGATAGTAGAAAATGATAATTATGCGTAATTCCTTGTACGTAGAAGATGTTTATTTCTTCTTTGTGAGTTATTTTGGAAAATTTGTCGACAAATGTGAAATTTATTTATAACTTTTTTCTTTCCAAATGATGTACTATAATATGTTTATTAATCCATAAAGCATAGTTATATTTGTTAGCAAATATATTTCTCTTCATTTCCCTGTTGGACCTGTTTCCTTGTTGCAATTAACACAAAAAATATTGTCCAAATTGAACTGCCGCATCTTCTAAAAGAGTGAGCAGCCATCGATTGAAAAGAGATATTAATTGCAGTTTCGAATTGTCCCAAATGCTGCTTTATGATTGGATTTGCCTCGGGATTTTCCAACTGGAAATTGATACAAAAACATTTCGAAAGGACATTAAACTCGAGCTGTCGCCGTGGACCGAAGTAATTAAATAGACCTTCATACCGGAAAAGGATTTGCTCGGTTTAAAATCGCGAAAATGACTAAGATAATATTGATGGTGGTCGTTTATTTTATTGTTCCACGATTAAACTCTATCCCGGGTTGATTGTTTCGGGGTTGCCAGGTCGTTTAGGCAAATGCTCCCCGAACGAACATTAAAAAGGCCCATAAATTGGGATTTTATACTATAAACTCTCTAATTCGTTCGGTTTCTTTACAAACAATCAATATTTACTTCTGCTGTCCTATACTGGCAACATTGGAAATATTAGAGTTTCTTCCACTGGTCTTTATCCACCACTGTATTCATCACTGCAATTGATTGAAAGTTCTTTTTAAAAACATCTCATTGGAACAAACCACAAATTTTAAAATAAAGTATTTATTTGACTTTTCAATTTCCAGATGGAAGCAATTTTCAAAATACAATGTTTTTTAGAAAATCCAGACGGGCTTCGGTAACTTACCGATTAACTTGTGATAACTCGGTAAATTTCGGGTTCGAATCCTTTTCCGAAAGAAAAAGTAGAAATTTTCATTTCTTCACTCATTCGACGTGAGGTCGTCGTCCAAATATTACAATCAGATGACTCAGTAACAACTATGAAGCCAACTTCCCTTAGTAACGAAACATTTATTCAATGCTTTTTTTTTCTTCAAGTGTATCAGTGTTATGGAAGTTCGTAATTAAAATTACCATGACCATTACAACTGTCAAAGCGATTTACACCAGTCTATCTGGGAAAAAATCATTGATTTCACGTAAAAATTTTATACAGATATATAGTTGAAGGTTATAAAAGGTATATGAAGTGTAGCAGATAAAAAATCCGCGAAGACGTCCAGCTGATTTAGGTTTGTTTTTTATAGGGGAATTTAATAAGGCATCCATAAATCGGATCTAAGTAAACCAATTCAGTTTAAAATTTAATATCCTTTCAATAATATTATTTATTGCTTATTGCTAAATGCGATTGTTTGTTGATATTATTGAAAATATCCGTGTAACTAGAACACGCGCTAACTTAGTGAAATTTGCAATGTAATCAAAAGCTTATTAAATAATGTGTACAAATTATATTAAAAAAACATGAATGCATAAACAAAGCTCACGTGAGTTAAATACCCGAAAAATAACGGCAGTGGATTATTAAGAATTAAGAGTGAACAGTTGAAGCTAGTGTTGTCATCCGTCAACTGGGTACTCTCTCTATTACTGTACTTAGAGAACCAATAAAGTAATTATGAGTATGCAGTGAGTTCGACTTATTCAACCACATGCAGGGGATAAACTATCCCTAGAGTTCCACTATCTGGAGCTCTTGATGAAAGCAATATAATCAAAATTATAAAAATATACAACATTATTATATTTTGTTTTAAATAATTGAAAATTGAGAGAAAAACAGTTTAAATAAAACTTATATCTTAAAAAATTCTTCAATTTACCTTTTCCTAAATCAAAATGCATACAGAATTCCCCAAGAAAGTTGCAGATGACTCTTATATTTGCAGTAATTTATGTTAATGTTAATAACTTTATTTTTTGCTTGACATATAACTACTTTAAATTACGGCAGTTAATGAATTATTAAAGTTTGATAAATTTTAAATAGATCGACCAAATAGTTTATTCAATTTGTTTATCCCAAAGAGCAATTATTTAATCAACTGTTCTTGCCCAGACAGTCACTCAGGAGGTATTCTGTTAATTGAAATCGATTCTATGAAGGCTCGTTTTTAAGGTATGTTAAGAAACTACAATATTTTGTTAAATTTGTTATTAATAATTAACAGTTCAAAAAATTACTGACTTTTTAGCTTATAAAAAATAATACCTTTGACATTATTTATGTCAGGAGCTTGTAAGTAGATTATTTCCTATGACCAATAGGAAAAAGGATAGGATTTTTTCGAAAAATCCTATTTCCGTTGTATATTACATTAAGAGCTGTGATTTTTTTGGTACATTTTATAGATGGGATATACTGAAAATGAGTAAAAAGTTAACCTATCAGTACTATGTATCAAAAATACAATCTATTTTTACTGAGCAGCCTACTTCAAGAAACCTCTTCGTTTTATTTATCACTTATACCAAACCTCATCGAACCCCACCGTACTATACGCTTGTTTCCAAATCAATACACCTTTGCGATGATGTAAGTAGATCCTCTGAGCTCCCTAGTTTAAAACAGGCCCTCATCGAAAACGGTTATCGCGAAAATGTCATCAATAGGAGCACCCACAGACAGCAATCTCCCACTCAATCCCAACCCAAAGATTCAGACCCTCATCATACGAAGCTTTTCTTCCTTACATCGAAACATCAAAGCTGTCACTGACAAAATACCGTGATCTTTGTCACGTTTGACAAAGGCCAAACAAGTCGTAGAATCCAAAATAGGATTTATCAACATTCCATTTCTGTTCACAATTCTAACTCATTTCAGCTCTTAGAAATTGAAAAAAGGCCAAATTGCCTCAATAAAAGAGATGATGGCATACAGCTACCTTCGATTTGGAGACCTCTTATAAAGAAAATACCGTCCGCTCTATTCCCCCTCGCTAACCACCACGCCAACCTGCACCCAAACCACATCACCATCGACAGTATA